CAGTAATAGCAAGAAATGAAAGGTGATGTGTCTTAGAACCTGTAGTTAATACGCAAGTACGCATTGTTATATTGAGTACATGCAGCTCTGAACTGGGCTTCTGGAAAATGCATATTGTGCTTTCAAAGTGGACTGTTTGGCAGCCCCAGGTGAAAATGTGATGATTTATAAATTGTTGGAAATGTGGATTTTTTCCCCCCAAGAAATTAAGACCCTAAAAAGACAACATGAAACACGAATGAAGAACGTGTGTGTAAGTTGTTAGCCACTGCCCATATGTTGGTGCCTTTTGTTGTATTGTTTGTATGACAATAAGTAAGTGCTTTATTCTTTTGGACAATTGGGCAAAATTTAAATATGCTACATCCCAGGAAGTCAATATTGGATTTCAGCAATTCATTCCTGCAGGTAGACAGCATGTTTATATATAACACTGTGTGTGTGTGTGTACACCACATGCACATGTAAACATAGATTTCTTGTAAAAAAAAAAATGTAAATGGTTGGGGCCATTTAAAAAAAAAGAAATGGCTGATGTGGCTCAGTTGGTTGAGCGGTGTCCCGTGCACCAAAAGGTCACAGGTTCAATTCCTGATCAGGGAACCTTCCTGATGTGCAGGCTCGATCCCCAGTAGGGTTGTGCAGGAGATAGCCAGTCAATGGTTCTGACCAATGTTTCTCTCTCTCCCTCCCTCTCCCTTCCTCTCAGTGGCTATGTGATGCATTGTGTAATTGAAAGCATTGAAATAACAGACCTGGCTCCGTTCTTAATAACTTTGATAATTGGGACAAATTTCATTTCTCAAGGTTACCAGCTGCATAATTAACACTGAGCAATGGCCTGGGTGGAAGTGTTCCGGGCCTTGATGGTGTGGCACACCCAGCAAGACATGTAGGAGTGCAAGAAACTCAAGGGGGTACTGCACCTCCTGACAGACAGACGCAGTTCCTGCCGTGAGAAGGGCAGTGCAGGGCTCTGGTTCTTGTCCCAGCTCTCTCGGCAGCAGCCTTTCTGAGAGATCTCTAGGTTCTTACAGGAAATGAAGTTGGATGAGATGACAAAAATTTTCTACCCCTTCCTCTTCTAGATACTACATGTTACACCTTTCTGAAAACCATAATTTAAAATAAGATTTACAGGTTGCCTATGGCTAAAAATTGAGCCTCAGAATTTTCACATAACCAAGCAACACAAATACAGTGTGACTGATGGCCCTCAAGTGCTAAATGGATTCTATAGAAGAGAAAATGAATCATTGTAATTGTTTGGTCAAGGATGCCCTATATAAATTAAAGAGAAATATATCTTAGAAAATGCAAACACAATTATGAATGCATAACGATTACCTCACTTTCTTTTTCTTTGATAACCATAAAAAAACCCGATGATTAAATAAGGCATAAGGGGGTTGTGAGCATTTTAAAAATTATCTTTATGGAATGTCTAGATTACTTAGAGATATTTTAGATTGACTGCATTGTTTGAGATAGGTGA